AAACCACAATGATACCATCTCACTCCGATTAGAATGGCTATGATCAAAAAAACAGAAAACAATAGGTATTGGCAAGGTTGTGGAGAAACTGGAGTGAATGCTAATAGTGGTGGAATAATTTGGAAAGGAACAGTGAGAATGATTGCACAACCTGAAGAATATAATCATTGTTACTGAATTACACATGTAGAAATTGTTGAATTGGTGTATCTTTTGTTGTGTATATTTTCACCACAATTTAAAAAAAAAAAAAAAAGAAATGGGGAGTGATAGAGAAGGCAAGGATGATTTCAGAGTGTAAGGATGGAGTGATCATTTACTCCAATGAAGGCTATGGGAAGGGGCACTTTGATGGGTAAAGATCTGGAATTTGGTTTGAGAGAGACGCTGATTAGACACCCAAGAAAAGTTGAATGCAGTTTTCAGAAGAGATGTTCGGGCTGGAGGTTTAAACTGTGGAGTTGTCCGGGTACAGATGATCTTCAAAGCCTTGAGGCTAGATAAGATTCCCCAGGGAGGAAAGTGAAGATAAAAGAGGAGGTCCCAGGGTGGGCTCTGATGGTTGCTCCAGTGTTTAGAAGCTGGGGACCTGAGGAGAAACAAGCGAAGCAGACTGAAGAAGTGTGGCAGTGAGTCAGGGGAAGATCAGAAGAGAGTGTGGTGTTCCAGAAGCAAGTGGAGAAAGTGTGTCAAGGAGGAGGATGAGCTCAAATGGTGTCGGATGCTGCTGATTCACTAAGAAAGATGAAGACTAAGAACGACCTTTGGATTTAACAACGTGGAGGCCATCAGTGACATTGAGAAGCAAAGTTTTGGTGGAGAGGTGGGGTGAAAACCTGACAGAGGGGTCAGAAAGGAAAGGGGGGAGATAAAGAGGAGAGACTTCTGACAACTCTGGAAGAGTCAGCGTCTAAGGAATCGTTAAGAAATGACAGGTAGCTGGAGAGAGATATGGGCTCCAGATAAGGATTTTAAGATGGAAAAGATCATGTTTGTAAGTTGTATATGTAATAATGCATCATTAGCCCTCTAGATTATGGAACCAAGACTCAAAACGTTTAAGTAGTAGAACCAGTGAGCAGAAGAGTTAACTAGGCTTTGAACCCCTGTCTGTCTGATCCACTCCAGATCCACACTCTTAATAGGTCAATTTTTTTCTTTTTACAAAATGGAGTAGTACTTTTTTCTTATGTTACAATATATCATGAGCATTTTCCACATGAATAAAAAGCAAAAATACTCATAATTAAAGGAGAAATAGACAAATCTACAATTATAACGACAGGCTTCAACTCACTGCTCTTAGCAACTGAAAAAAAAGACCAAAAAAAAGACCAAAAAAAAAAAAACCCAGTAAGGTTATGGAACATTTGAACAACATGATCGACAGACTTGACCTAGTTGGCGTATGGAAAACACTCACTCAAGCGTGCAGAGTACACATCTTTTCAAGCGCACATGGAATATAACTTGGGCCATAAAGCAAGGCTCATAGATTTCAGAGGATTAAAATCACGCAGAACATATTCTCTGATCACAGTGGAATTAAGCTAGGAATAAAAAAACAAAAAGATAACTAGAAGATAATGAGGCCTTTGGAAATTAAGCAAAATACTTTTAAATAGCCCCCAGGTTAAGAAAGAAATATCAGTAGAAATTATAAACTGAAAGATAATGAAAATAAGTCAAAACTGGTGGGATGTAGTTAAAACCATTCTTAGAGGGAAATTTATAGCCTCAAGATGTATAAATTAGAAAAGAAGAAAGACTGAAAATCAATGCTGTAAGTATCCATCTCAAGAAATTAGAAAATTTAAATACAAAGGAAGTAGAAGAAGACATATACAAAAAACCTTCAGCATGCATCATACTGAATGGCGAATATTTACAGCCTTCCTCGGAGGTTGGGAAACAGGCCAACGATGCCTGCTCTCATCACTCCTATTCACCATCACACTGGAGTCTAAGACAGTGCAATAAAGCAAGAAAAAAGAAATTAAAAAGTATCAGGATTGGAATGGAAGAAATAAAAAATGTCATTATTTGGAGATGACACAATTGATTTCATCTCATAGCGATCCTATACTGCAGAGTAGAACTGCCCCATGGAGTTTCCAAGGCTGTAATATTTACAGAAGCAGATCACCAGGTCTTTTCGACCTCGGAGCCACTGGTTAGCAGCCAAGGGCTTAACCATTGAGTCAGAATCAACTCAATGGCACACAACAACAACAGCGTGATGGATTTCATAGAAAATCCAAAGGTATCCAAAAGTATGGACTCCTTAAACCATCGGAATTAAGCAGTGAATCCAGCAATAAGCTCAATATACAAAAATCAGTCATATTTCTGTATATCAGCAATAAACAATTAGTAAATAAAATTAAAAGGGGGACAACACCTGTATCCTAAAGCCTTGCTCTGAAGACTGAGATTGTTGACGTTGTCAGCTGCTGAGTCAACCTTGAACTGAGGGCGACCCGTGCTCGGGTGAATGAAACGCTGCCTGGTCCTGCACCATCCATGACTGGTTACAGATCAGACCGTTCGTATCCATAGGGTTTTCACTGGGTAATTTTCTGAAGTAGATCGCCAGGCCTTTCTTCCTAGTCTGTCTTAGTCTGGAAGCTCTGCTGAAACCTGTTCAGCATCACAGCAACATGCAAGCCTCCACTAATGGACGGGAGGTGGCTGCACATGAAGTGCGCTGGCTGTGAATCAAACCCAGGTCTCCCACATGGAAGGTGAGAATTCTGCCACTGAACCCCTGCCTTCATAGGAATGAGATAATGGGAATAAAGCCTTAGCACAGGGCCTAGTACATAGCCGGTGCTTAACAAATGGCTTCTGATATCATCATTACTGTGGCTAATGTTAATCTTGCCTGCCCAGGGCCAACCTCAGCTGCTAGGGATTGGTTTCAAGGGCTAGCAAAGTCCCATGGCCTCCCTTCACATCTCCTTTCTGGCTCTCAAATCTCTCCAATCCACCCTGCAGGGCAGTTGGGCATCTTCTCCAGGAGCCAGAGAAGTCTGCCTAAGCCTCAGGAGATTCTAGACACAGGCAAGAAAGATGTTCCATTCAAAAGTGAATCTCCTCCATTAAAAATAATCTTGTAGAAGGATGTTTATTCACACAGAGAGATGTTCATGATATAGTGTAACATGAAAAAAATAGCTGTATGATTCCAATTTAAAAATAGCGTGAGTGTCTCTTGTGTATATAAGATTGATTAGGCATAAAATGCCATGTTATTAGCATTTCTTCTGGAAGTAGATGAGGTTAGATGGATGATGGTTGTTTTATTCTTTTTGTTATACTGAGATACATATACACACACACACATATAGATGTATGTATATATGTGATACATATGATATAAACCCATTGCCTCAAGTTAATTCTGTCTCAGAGTGACCCTATAGGACAGAGTCGAACTTCCCCGTAGGGTTTCCTAGGTTGTAATCTTCACGGAAGCAGACTGCTACATCTTTCTCCCAAGGAGAAGTTGGTGGGCTTGAACCACCAACCTTTCGGTTAGCAGCCAAGTGCTTGAACCACTGTGCCATCAGGGCTGAATATATTTTATATATGCATCTATATATAAAATAATATATACATTTAGAGAGAGAGAGAGAGAGAGACAGTTTTTATCTGACAGCTGACACTAGAATTCCTCAGAGGGAAATACTAGGATAAGCTGCTGGGAGAGGAGAGAGATAGGGAGACTGGGGCCACACGGGGCGCAGCAACCAGTGGAATTTTCTGGGGTGGAGGAGCTGAAGGCCATTTGAGAGCTGGATGCGTTATGTTCTATTGGAACCGTTGGCGCTGCCCCGTGGGGGCGTTCCCTTTGCCTTGCCCACATCTGCCCCATTCTCAGCAAACATGGCTGTATTCTGAACGCCTTCTGTGCTCTGAACGCCTTCTGTGTGGGGTTTTGTGGCAATGAGCAAGGAAGGGCTCGAGTTTCATGTGTGTATCACAATGGTGGAGACAGGAATAGTGGCAGCGTGGTACAGGCAGAATCCTAGTGCCAGAGGCAGCCGGAGTGTCTGTACTGGGGGAATCTACCGGACCCAGGTGTGAAGCTTTGCACCTTCCAGCTGTGGAGTAAGGATCCCAGCAGCCTGGATCCAACCTCGTGGAGTTGACACCCCAGCTGACACTGGGTGGCATTTATTGTTTCCTTTCCCTACAATGAACACGTGTTACTTGTGGAGCTAAAATGAATCTAACGGGCAAAGAACGGTTCTTGTCCTCCCGGCCCAGCCTCTAGCAGAGTGGCTGCGTGCTGATGGGTGAGTGGGGTGGGGTGGGCACTCCAGCTGGGCACGAGGCCAAGCTTCCCCTGGCCCACGTGCTGAAGCCACTCCTCAGATAATTAGGAGGACCGTCAGTGACGGAAAATTCTGAGGACACCCGGGTGTGGAACAAACAGGGTCCAGACCCGTGTCTCCGCTGTGATTGTGACAACAGAAAACAATGTCTGCATGTGGCCCGGACGAGGGGGTGTGTGGGGAATGAAAAGTCCTCGATGTGTTAAGGGTGTGGGATAGTGCTCGCCCTTTTCCTCTTTTTGTGCTTTTTGCTGTTGTTGCTGTGATGTTGTTTGTGCAAGAAAAACGGGAAGAGGCTGGCAAGCTGGTCAACGTCACGGTCAAGTGAAGGAACTTCCTTTATTCCTCGTCAACTCGATAACCCTAGTTCCCGAAGTGGAGGCGGTGGGCCAAGGATGGAACTCACCCTTGCGGAGCGCCAGCGGGGGCCAGGGCCACACACGTGTGATCTTGTTTCACTTGCATAATGATTCCTAGTAATTCCACTTGGTAGAAATTATTGTCCCATTTTACAGGTGAGGAACTTGAGGCTCAGCGAGGCCACACAGCTGGTGTATGACAGAGCCAGCAATTCAGCCCCACCATCAGGGCTGGGGTAAACCCCCGTGGCCCTCCGTCAGGCCTGAGAGAGAAGGCAGGAGCCCCAGCCCCAGGACTCACCGTGTAGATGGAATCGGATAGAGGCTTCTTGGAGCTGCTGGCCGATCTCGGGTCCTGGCATTTCTGGGCTTGCTGCTTCCCTGGAACCTGTATCTGTTTCTGTGAGGAGAGGAGTCAGAGCTGTGAGGGGACAAGCAGCTCCCCGTCTCCCTTCGTCCACCATAGACCCCCGCCTGGGGAAAGGGTGACAGATCATCCCCAGGTCGCACAAACATGAGCTGCTCAGTGCCCTCCACACCTTCTCCAGGGAAACATGACGAATGCCTCTAAGACGTCCGTCAAACCACTCATCTGCCTGGGAACGTGGGGAACAAAACACACCACGATGGGCCTTGTCCGTGGGCAGCGCCTGGCTTGGGGAGGTAGGGCGGCAGGCGTGGTGCCAGCTTGCAGGCCGACTTCTGTGGGTGGGCTCCAAGCAGGTGCCAGCCAGACCAGGCTTCCAGTCCCGCTCTGCCACTCACTGCCTCTGTGGCCTCGAGCAAACCCCTTCCCCTCTCTGAGCCTCAATTTCCTCAGCAATAGCCAATCTCCTCTGTGAGATTGTTGCCCGAATTCAGGCAGGTGATGAAGGTAAGTGCCTAGCACGTGGGTGGCGCTCAGGACTCCCTTGGTCAACCAATACACGCTCATCAGGCACCTCTCGTTAGCCGGGCAGCGGGAGGAGGTAGACACGGTCCCTGCCTTCCTGGGGTTTGGAGTCTAGCGGGGAGGTCGACGGTGAAACCACAGTTTTACTGAAGTGTGATAAGGAGGGCAAGCCTAGCCCAGCAGGAAGGGTACTGTTTACACTGAGGCCTGAGGGCTGAGAAGGGGTTCATTCCCAAGAAGGGGAGGAGAATGTTCCAGGCAGAGGGAACAGCATGGGCCAAGGCCTGCAGGTCTTGAGGAATTTAAAGAAGGTCGGCCTGGATGGAGAGGTGGACCTGCCCAGGACGGGCCAGAGCCTCGTGAAGAGCGTGGACGGTGGGAAACATCTCAGAGAGGGCTGTAAGCCGGAGGTTTCAGAAGCTCTCCCTGGCTGCCGGGTGAAGCACTAATGATGGCCGCAGAGGCGGGGCAGGGCGGCCTGCTGGGAAGTGGAAGGAGCCCAGCAGGAGGCGGTACAGTCTGCTCCTTCCCGAGGCAGAGGGAGGCGGGCCTGGCCTTCCCCCCTCATCCCAGGCACCACATTGCCAACCGTGGAGCAACAACAGCCTCATCTCGGGGCAGGAGCTAATTAAAAACCCTGGCTGCCTGCCAAGCCCCAGCCCATTTACTCTGAGATTAGCTCTGGAGAACTACTTAACTCTCAGGCAGGAGCCAGCGCCACACCCAGTCACAAAATAATAATGGCTTGGAACGATGGCACTTGCCACCATGTGCCAGGTGTGGCTTGAATGCGAATGCCCCCCTCAAAGAACCTACGAGATACGTCTTCACAGCATCTCTGTCCCACACATGAGGAGGTGATGGCTCAGAGAGGGCAGGCGACTTGCCTGAGGTCACACAGCCCAGAAGTGGCAGAGGCAGCCACTGAACCCACATCTGTGAGACTCACCCCGTTCCCGACATGGAGCCGTGTGAACAAGGCCACGTTGGTCTCTGTGTTCATGGCACTTGCTGCCTGGCAGGGTAGGGTGATGACGACAGTTGGGGAGCACCAGCAAGGAGACACCCCTCCCTGGGTAGGCGTTACCTACAGGGTGAGCAGGAGTGGGCCAGGCAAAGAGCTGGACCAAACTGCCTGACCCACCACACTTCTGCCTGACTATGCCATTTGCTTGCTGTGTGACCTTGGGCAAATCACAACTTCTCTGAGCCTCCCTTTCCAGAGCTGTAAAATGGGAAGAAGCCTTCCTCATAGAGTTACAGTGTCACATAAATGAGACCGCGAGTGGCCTGGTGCAGAGTGGCTCTCAAGAAATGCTTCTTTCCTCCCAGGGAGTGAGAAAATCCAGGACAGGGGTTGTTCCTAATATGGGGAGCCATAAATGTTACACGAGAGGGCTTGTGGCTCCCATCAGATTCTCAGCGGCGTTCGTGCCCCGGAAAGGCTGAAGAGCCCTGGTTTCTTGGAACAAGATCAAAAAGGAGCTGGTGACAACAAGCAGGGGTGCAGTCCCAGCATCTGGGAACCTCAGGGAAGGTGCAGGAGGAGGATGCTCCCAGCCCCTGGTGCGAGGGGCCACGAGGAACAGGTAAGGGATGGTGGCTCACCTATTACAGGCAGGGAAGCATGCCTCACCAGGGCCCACCAGGACCTACCGTGGGGTAGGCTCGCTGTCCCTCTGCCCCTCTGGGGGCATCCTCAAGGGGGTGGGGGAAGAGGGACAGCACTGCTGTGTGCCTGCCTCTGCCACATGTCCCATACCTTCTTCCAGAACAGCAGAGCTGTGCCCAGGACACTCAGGACGGTCAGGAGGCTAGTGAACCCAAAGAGCAGGGCGTCCTGGAAGCCCCGCGGGGGCTCTTGGTACCCTGAGTCTAGGAGGGGGAGGCAGGAAGCAGAGGGGTTAGTTACCCAGGAAAAGTGCAGGCCACACCAACTCCCAGGCCCCCACCTCCCTATATTCTCCTTTACCCAGGACCCTGCTTGTAGCACTCCCCCACAAGGCCCCCTGCCTGCCTATCTTCCTCAAAACCCTGCCTCTCCTCAGGTCCTCCTTTCCACACTTACTTTGGCTAAGGCTCTTTTTTGTTTACTGCCTTGATTCTCTTTACAGGCAGGGACTACAACTTTTACTTCCCCTGCCCCCCACCCTCAGTGAACTCCTGGCTCCATTGTGAGCTGCTTATGGGAGCCTGGGGGAGTAGTTTCACCTCTTGGGGCCTTCTCTTTGCCATTTGTGAAATAGTGATAATAATTATCTACTTCATTGAGGTGGGGAAGGGATTTAGTGAGGGTAGAAGGACACAGGAGACATGTTTGTACTGAGTCTAGCAGGTGGCTAGCCTGCTCCAGGGATAAGTGACAGTGTAGTCCTCCCCCTTCCTCTGAGTCATCAGTCCATCCATCCATTCATCCATCTATCCATCCACCAGCCATCCATCCATCCACCACTCATCCATCCATCCTTCCATCCATCCATCCATCTGTCCGTCCACCACCCATCCATCCATCCTTCCATCCTTCTATTCATCATCCATCTATTCATCCATCCACAATCCATCCATCCACTATCCATACACAATCCATCCATCCATCCATCCATTCATCCATCCATCCTCCCATCCATCTATCTGGCAAATATTCACCAAGTGCAAATCACATGCCAGGCACACCAATGTCTGATATTTACTGAGCACTTCCAATCACCAGGCACTGACCCTTGTATTCATGATCTCATTTCATCCCCATAAAAGCCCTTGACTGGCAAGGTATTTCCATGAAGAGCAGACCCAAGGTCACACCCTGGGAAGCAGCAGGACCAGGATTCAAACCCAATTCTGTGGATTCTGAAGCCCCCAGCTCCTTCCCGTGGGAATTGCAAAGGCAGGTCGGAGAATCATGGCTTCAGTGATGGACTCGTTCTTGACTTTTGGGGTCACCACCCCTTTGAGAATATGATAAAAACTAGGAAGCTGTCCTCAGAAAGATGTACATGAGCCTAGTGCTCATACACAAGTGGCCCCACGAACACACACCTGACTCTGCACACACCCATTCCCTCCATTGTGCGATGGGACACTGAGACCTGAGGGACCAAGTGACCTATCTCAGGTCACCTGCCAGAGGGTGCCAGAGGCAGATCCACACCCCACTCCTCTGTCCTTTCCTCACAAAGGTGCACGCCTTGGCATGCCCACATGGCTGGGGGCTTCCTGCAGCCACTCTGTTCTGCTTTGCCAAAGCTGGAAAAAAGGCAGACCATTCCCCACTTCAGACTCTGTGCCCCAAACTCTGCTGTGTGAAACCTTTGGACCCTCCACCCTGGGAAGAGCCTTGGAGGAAGTCTTACCTCGGACCAGGATGAAGGTGCCGGTGCCATTCTTCGTGGTGTGTGGCCAACGGACGGAGCAGTAGTAGGTACCAGTGGCTGACACATCCTGCAGCAGAGGGGTGACCTGGCACTCCACGGTGTGGGTCTGGTTCTCTGTGCCCTGGTTGAGTTGGCAGTTAACATGCTTCTTAGTGCTAGACTTGCCCTGACCGTCTACGTAGAAGTAGCTGACTGTAAAGCTCTTGTATTCTGCAGTGTATAAGTAGGTGATTTTGCAGCCAAAGGAAACGGACTTGTTGGCCAAGGAGACCACAATGGGAGGGCCAGTGTGGGTCACCGACTGTCCTCCTGCAGGGGAAGGAAGGAGAAGAACAGCAGGTCACTCTTGGAGGCCGTCTCAAGCTCACCTGCTTTCTGTGTGCTGTGCCGTGTGCTTGGTGTGCACGACTCCATATTTCTTGCCACATTCACAGCAGAGACTAGCAAGAGCCTCATCTTACAGAAAGGAAGAGTCCGAGGCACTGGGAGGCCAAGAACTTGCTCCCACTCCACCGCTAGGCGTGTCTGGGGTGGATCTGCAATCCTGCCCGGGACTGGAGACCACAGAGCCCACACGCTTCACCACTTGCTTTCCCAAACGCCAAGAGGCCATGTTGTGTGTTGGACAGAAGCACTGTGTTACGGACTGAATTATGTCCCCTCAAAATGTGTGTTGGAATCCCAACCTCTCTTCGTATAGAAAAGCAGTCCTGGTGGTTCAATGATTAAGCACTTGGCTGTTAACCAAAAGGTCAGCGATTCCAGCCCACTGGTGGCTCTACGGAAGAAAGAGCTGGTGATCTGCTCCCATAAAAATTACAGCCTAGGAAACTCTACAGGCAGTTCTGCTCTGTCCTATAGGGTCACTATGAATTGGAGTCAACCAGATGGCACACAACAACAATTGCCTATGAATCTAATCTTACCTGTAGTTTTCTTTGTTATGTTAATAAGGCCACATCAGTGTAGGGAGCGTCCTAAACCTAATCACTTCTGAGTCATAAAAAGAGCAGACTAGACGCAGGAGGAAGGACAAACTGGGGAAGACAGATGCCACGTGAAGATCCCCAAGGAACCGAGGAATGCTGGGGTTACAGAGCTGAGCCAAGGATCTTCCCTCAGAGGCAACAGAGAGAGTCTTCCCCTAGACCCAGGGCCCTGAATTCGGACTCCTAGCCTTCTGTTGTCACTTTGAGGACTAAGGTGCGTCTGACCTAAGTCATGATATTTTCAATCGCCTCATATGCATGGAAAGCTGGACAGTGAATAAGGAAGACCAAAGAAGAATTATGCCTTTAAATTATGGTGTTGGCGAAGAATATGGAATATACCACGGACTGCCAGAAGAACAAACGAATGTGTCTTGGAAGAAGTACAACCAGAGTGCTGTTTGGAAGCAAGGATGGTGAGACATCGTCTCTTGTACTTTGGACATGTTATCACAAGGGATCAGTCCCTGGAGAAGGACATCATGCTTAGTAAGGTAGAGGGTCAGCGGAAAAGAGAAAGACCCTGAATGAGCTGGACTGACACAGTGGCTGCAACAATGGGCTCAAACACAGCAATGACTGTGAGGATGGCGCAGGACCCAGCAGTGTTTCGTTCTGTTGTACACGGGGTCGCTGTGAGTCAGAACTGCCTCAACGGCACCTACCAACAACAACAGCCTTCTGAACCGTGAGAAAATAAATTTCTGTGCTTTAAAGCCACTCACTTGTGGTATTTGCGTTACAGCAGCACTAGGAGACTGAGACGCAAGGTATGAGAGGACCAACAGCAGGTGAAAGCTGAGAAGTGAAGAGGAAGGAAGCAGAAAGCAAAATAAAGACACCCGGAGCTTCCTGGTGGCAGACAAGAGAGGGAAGCAGGCTTCCCTGCCCAGTGCAAGAAGGTGCACCAGTGCTCACGAGAAACAAGCCTGTCCCCGAATCTGAGCACAGAGAGGATCTGTCAAGTCTTGACATAATAAACAAGGCTCTGAGGGCAGTTTTTCCAGCCAGGCAGAGTGTTCCACACGTGGCCATTTTGTCCGTGGCCACGATGTTCAGTAACCACTACAAAGGCAGTTCTGCAAGAGCTGCCCCGGCCCTGGCACCCCAGCTCCTGGAGGTGCCTCAGAAACCCCCCAAAGCAGCAGCCCTGCCTGGCTGGGCCTTCACCCGCCTGCAGGCTCACCAGTGGCTGGGCCGTCTCTGAGCTGGGGCAGCAGCCGCCTGGCCCCCAGCCCTCAGCCTGCACAAGCCTGCTTATCTTCCCTATTCCTTGTCTCTCCACCAGCAGCCAAACAGCAGACAGTTCTAAATTGAGGTCAGCAGCGAGCAGCCAAGAACATGCAGGCCGGGTTGTTAATCGGGAGAAGATCATGTGTGAGACGCTCAGAGGAAGCAGCAAGATTTATTTTGTTGGGGACATCAGGCGTGGGCTCCTGCCTGTGGTGGGCCCCCCATGGGTTAGGCACGAGGCTGGGCTGGTTTCTCCTTAGGTCTGTTTAGCTCAGCTCGTAGCTGAAGCCCTGGAAAGGGATCCCAAGGGACCTGGAAGATCCAGGGCCTGACGAGATGGTTCGGGCCACACTGTTATTTTAAGTTTCCTGTGGAGCCACTAGAGGCACCCCCTCCGCCAGAGAACTAAAGGCATCAGTAGTTCCAGGGAGTCTGGATGTCACAGAGCGTCACGCTGGCATAGTTAATATGGTGGCGCTCACTCATGGTGAATCCACTGGGCGCCATCTGCCCCCTCGATGGGGAGGAGCCCCTGTCCCAGGCCTTACCTCTGGTGGGCGGCGAGGGACGGGAATTCACACTGGACTTTATATCTCTGGACTCTTCCATATGGTTTGGCTTTTTTTTTTTTTTTAAACAATAATGACATAGTAATTTTGCATTAAAACAGGGAGCACTGATTTCGGAGAAGCCAAGGACACCCCCCACCAAGCCCAAGATCCCCAGATCACTATGTTGTCCTTTACCCAGGACCCCATTCACAACATTCCCATGCAAGGCCCCCTGCCCTGCAAGCTCCCCCGGACCCCATCTCTACTCAGGGCCCCATTTCCACACACCCTTGGCTAAGCCCCCTTTGATGTTTCCTGCCATGATTCTCCTTAAAGGCTTTCTGTTGATCCCTGGGGGTGCAGAGACTTGGGGAGAGTTGTTCCAGGATCCCCTGGGGGGCCAGGTGGGCCGGAAAGGACAAGAGGCAAGAGGTGTGTAACGACCGGGAGCATTACTCACTCTGCCCCATGACCCCACACTGGGGGTGGAGGGCTACACGCACAGACCACTCCCCTCTTTGCACACTATTTCCAAGTCCCCTCTGCCTGGGATGCCTTCCTGCACCTCCTCATCTGGTCAACTAAAAAAAAGGAAAAAAACACACCCACTGCTGACTCATGGCGACCCCATGTGTGTCAGAGTAGAACTGCTCCATAGGGTTTTCTTGGCTATAATCTTTATGGAAACAGATTGCCAGGCCTTTCTTCCAAGGTGCTGCTGAGTGGATTTGACTCGCCAATGTTTCAGTTAGTAGCCAATCACAAGCTGTTTGCGCCACCCTTACCAATCCCTACTTCTTCCCCAAGACTTGGTTTAGGAGCTGTTTTCCAGCCTTCACCTACAGCCATGTGGTTCTCACAGCCAGCCTTCCAGAGAGCGGGACCAGTGGTACTAGTGTTTCTTTGAGGGAGTCAGGAGGCTGGGACCTGCCAGGGTCACTCAGCCACACCAGGATGTGCACGGAGCCCTGTCCACCTGTCCTGGGGCAGCCTGCTCCTCCCCTAGGGACTGGGCAGCATCCAGGGGTGGCTCCAGGACCAGGTGAGGATGGACAAGCTGTCAGCACGACAAAGCCACCTTCCTGTTTGTTCTGGCAGGAAGACATTCATTCGCCAGTTCTTTGAAAAGATTCTCCCCATTTTAAAAATCCTTCTAGAAAATGATGTAATCTGCTAGTGCAATTAAGCCGATCTTTACAATTCTGGAGAAATCCATAAAAATAGACATCTATTGTTCTGTACTCTTCCGGGATTCGTTATTTTAAGGTCAGAGGGCTAGGATCATTAAGATGCATGGCCCTTGCTCCAGTCTGCAATGGCCAGGGGAGGCTTCGGAGCAAGAGCCTCAGCCCTGCGATGAAACTGCTGTCTTGGAAAAGTGAATAGATGAGGCGGTGTCTGACGGGCTCAATCAATAATGACAGCCTATCTGGAGACACAGGGCCAAAAACGAGGACAGGAGGCCTGTGGCTGCAGCAGAAGCATTGGGTTGTGGTCTGATGACGTGTCTAATTGTCCCCACTGCCCTCTTCCTTTTGTGGGGTGTCAGTGCCCCTGAGCCTGGACCACAGCCTCTGCCCAGCTCCGGACCCCTCTCTTGGACCTGTGCTTCTGAGACGCCCCTTCTGGGGTGCAGGTTGTGGGGGGGCCCAGTCCCCGCTGCTTCAATTGGCTGCTGACTAGAATCTTCCCCACATTAAGGCTCAGCGCTGCAGATGGGTTCATAGTAATTTCCGAGTCCACGAATTCTTTTCAGCTATCATTTGCATACCCAACAAACATTCTGTGGTTGTTGTCAGCTGCCATTGAGTTGGCCGCTGACTCACGGCAACCCCATGCACAATGGAACGAGTTGCTGCCTAGTCCTGCGCTGTCCCCACGATTGGCTGTGGATCTGACCGTTGGGATCCACAGGGTTTTCACTGGCTGATTTTCGGAAGTAAATTGTGAGGCCTTTCTTCCTAGTTCATGTTAGTCTGGAAGCTCTGCTGAAACCTGCTCAGCATCATAGCAACACCCAAGCCTCCACTGACAGATGGGTGGCGGCTGCGTATGAGGTGGACTGGCTGGGGATAGAACCCGGGTCTTCCTCATGGAAGGCAAGAATTCTACCAATGAGCCACCAATGTCCCTCAACAAATATTTAAGGGGCACCAGTTAGGTCACGACCCTGTCCGAGGCCCGGACGGGGTCCCTGCCCTGGCACATGCCCAGTCAAACAGGGAAGGAGGTTGTGGAGCAGAGGGAGTCTGGGGTGGGAGGGGCCGAGGGAAGGGAGCCGCTAGTTCTGTCTGGGGTGGTGGGGCTGGCAGCCACAGCCTGCCTGGAGCGTGTTTCAGTCTCCTGGGACTACCTAACAAAGTAGCACAAACTAGGTGGCCCAAAACAACAGGACTTCATTCTCTCACAGTTCTGGAGGCCAGAAGTCCAAATTCAGGGTGTCAGCAGGGCCATGTTCCCTCCGAAGCTTCTAGAAGAAGATCCGTCCTTGTCTCTTCCAGCTTCTGGTGGCCGCAGGCATTCCTTGGCTTGTGGC